AAGAGATGATTTACACCTTCATGATCCCTAGATTTTGTCTAATTAGAAAAGATTTTTTTAAAAATAGGGACCTGGTCTTCTTTTGTGTCTTGCACACTGTTAGAGTATTAGGCACCTGTGCATGTTAGGCATTAAATAAGGACTTGGCAAGTGGGATGTTTGGCGAACGTTATGCATATTTATGAATTATTGGAGAGAGATTTTGATTGGGAAGAAAAGTTTCTATTTGGGGGATTATTTATGTTCACTGTGAAGAGTGACCCAGGCTGCACTTGCCCTGATTTCTCTGTCGCTCCTGCTCTGCTGGTGTCCATGGGAAGAGCACCACCACCACAGTGACACAAAAATAAACCCCGTCTTGTTCTCTGGGACAGCTCAGGAACAGGCTCTGGTGGCAGGTGAGCCTTCCAGCTTGTAAGCGCGTTCCCCTGTGCTCCAGTGCACCTATCCACACCCCACTACAGCAAGACACTTCACTATTTTAAATGGTGGTACTTGTGTCCAGGCACAGTGGCTCACGCCTGTAATCCCAGCACTCTGGGAGACTGAGGTGGGTGGATCACTCGAGCTCAGGGGTTCGAGACCAACCTGAGTAAGAGCAAGAGTGAGACTGCCATCTCCACTAATTATAGAATGATAGCTGGGTATTGTGGCAGGCACCTGTAGTCCCAGCTACTTGGGAGGCTGAGGCAGGAGGATCACTTGAGCCCAAGAGTTTGAGGTTGCTGTGAGATATGATTACACCATGGCACTCTACCCAGGAGCAATGGAGATTCTGTGTGTCTTCTCCCCCCAACCCCCCTACCCTTGCCAAAAAAAAAAAAAAAAAAGTAGTACCTGAAAATAGTTTTACCTTCCTGGGCCCAAAATCATACATCTGGGCAAAAAAACCTTCCCTGCATTGCAGACTGCTAAGTGTAATTTAGTTTATATGACCTCCCAGCTGTTTTGTGTCAATCTTGGCCTACCCTTTTATTCACAAAGATTTCAGGGAAGCATAGTGCTGGTTTAAGTTCGAGTTACCTATCTTGGCCAGGTGCAGTGGTTCAATCTTTGCACTTTGGGAGGCTGAGGCAGGAGGATCACTTAAACCCAGGAATTTGAGGTTGCTGTGAGCTGTGATACCAGGGCACTCCACCCAGGGCAACAGAGACTCCATCTCACAAATAATAATTAATTAATTGTGTATCTTCACTTTTGTTATTGCCTACTTTTGGCCTGAATAAAATATTTCATCACTTATATTTAGTTTGATGAAGCACATATTTCACAAGAACCAGAATACTGCCATGTGGGGTCAAACCAATAGGGAACCCTGTGGAAATGGGGGTGATGGAATGGGGTTAAAGATTAGATCTGGTCCCCAAATGTCCCTACTTCTTTAACTCCCCCCCCTTTTTCCTTCTTTTTATTCATGTGCTTGGGGAAAGTATTTCTGATCCTTTCTGTGGCACGCAGTTGCCGTGAGCCATGGGTATGAGGGCAGGTGTGTGTGCAGTTAGTTCTGTGTAAATTCTAGCCGTGTGAAAAGCAAAACGACGTAGTCACGCCAGGAAGAGGGGATCGGGCTCGTGGTATCGTGGAATCTGCGGCTTATCTGTGTGGATCAGAAAGGCCGTTTGCCTGGACACAGCATGGCCAGGACAGTTAATCATCGGAGGAAGCAGCAGAGGAGTATTTATCTTGCAAGCAGCTGAACCTTACTGGAAACATATTGTCTGGGTTTGTCTCTCATCTCAGGCCATTCATTACTCACCTACAAACGCTGTCACAGGCCCCAGCAGCTGTGATGATCCTCTTCCTCAGAAGGCCTGACATAAATAAAAAGGAAAAATGTCTTCAGAGCTGTTACCTTCAAGATTTTTTTTTTTTAAAGAAAGATAGTGGAGTTGATTTTCTGTTCTGAAATATAAGATATGATATGACTCAGTAATTTCAAAGCAAGTTAGTTATGTTTAAACTGAAACTTACTAAGCTTATGACCATAGAACAAGGCAGCAGTCTGGCCGTGTTCTTGTTGAGAAATATCTCCAGCGGTGTTGGGGTGAGATATATATCTACTCCTTTGCAGGCAATCATGAATTTCTTCTCCTCCTCTCTCTTGCATCATTAATTCCCCCCAACACTGAATCAGTCTCTTTAGTTAACAGAATTAATCCTGCCTTTGGCCCCATGCTTCCCCCTCCACATTCATCCCAGGCATTACTTCTCTTTCAGTAGAATTCTCTAATAGGAGAGCCTCTCCCTCCCACTTCCCTTCTTTTTTATTTGAGACAGAGTCTGACTCTGTCACCCTGGTGGAGTGCCATGGCGTCATAGTAGCCTTAATCTCCCGGGCTCGAGTGATCCTCTTGCCTCAGTCTCCTGACTAGCTGGGCCTACAGGTGCCTACCATCACGTCAGATTAGTTTTTCTGTTTTCTTCTTTAGTAGAGATAGGGTCTCGCTCTTGCGCAGGCTGGTCTCAAACTCCGGAGCTCAAGGGATCCACCTGCCATGGCCTCCCAGAGTGCTAAGACTGAAGCCCCTGCACCCAGCCACTACCCCCCACCCCGGGCCTGTTCCTTGTAGCCCTGGTTACTGATGTCCCATCATCATCTGGCACCACGTGATCATACCTGCCTTCTCAGAACACTTACCTGATGAAGTTACGCCCACCTCTCCTCTGCCTTGTCAGACCACTTCCATGATGAAGTTACGCCCACCCCTCCTCTGCCTTGTCAGACCACTTCCATGATGAAGTTACGCCCACCCCTCCTCTGCCTTCTCAGAACACTTACCTGATGAAGTTACGCCCACCCCTCCTCACTGATGGCCCTGTTTCTGCACCCTGCCTCTCAGAGGTGGATGTCTCAGACCTTGGCCCTTGTATTCGTTTTCTGCTGCAGTCTAACCAAGTCTCACAAATGTAGCAGCTAAAACAACGTATTTGTTACCTCAGACTTGCCCTGGACCAGGGGTCCGGGTACCACTTCACTGATTTTCTGCTCAGAGTCTCACCTGGTTGAAATCAAGGTGTCTGCTATAATCTCGTGTGAGACTTGGGGTGCTCCAGGCTCATTCAGGCAGCGTTCAGTGGCCTGCAGTTGCAGGGCTGAGGTCCCTTTTTACTTTCTGTTGGAGGCCAGGGGCAGCTTTCAGCTCTTACAGGCCACCCTCAGGTCTCAGCCACGTGGCCCTCTTGTCATGTGATAGCTTACTTCTTCAAAGCTGGCAGTCTGCTAGGACTAAGTCATATACTACAAAATGTAATCCTGGGAGTGACTATCCCATCATAGCCACAAGTCCTGCTCATGTTCTAGAGAAGGGAATCACACAAGGCATGTACCTCAGGGGACCATTTGGGATTCATGTGTGCCTTACTTTGGGGTATCTGCTTATTTTTCCACCAAAAGCACTCCAAGAACTAAGGACCCGGGCAGCTGCCTGAAACCTTGACATTTTAGGACATGGACAGCCATCTTGAAACCCACCATTTTCACAGGCTCCTTTATGATGTATGACAAATTTCAGCTTAGGATGGTTAATGGTGAACATGTTCTTATGAATGGGAAGGATTTAATATTATAGATTTGGCTATCCAGGGTTAATCATGTTCTTTTTCTTAGCCATTATTATGCTGTTTCTTTGCATGTGTAGGAAAGGAGTGAACTTGGTGGGTTTACCCAGTCTTTTTTTTTTTTTTTTGCAGTTTTTGGCCGGGGCTGGGTTGAACCCACCACCTCCGGCATATGGGGCCGGCACCCTACTCCTTTGAGCCACAGGTGCCGCCCCTACCCAGTTTTTTAATTAGAACATTAAGAGTCATGTTTAGAGGTGCTGTATTAGTTTCCTATTACTGCTATAATAAGTTACCTTAAACTTAAAGTCAGTGGTTTTAAAATACATAGATTTATTTTCCTATACTTCTTGAGGTCAGAAGTCCACAATGAGTTTGATCTGAAACCACGATGTCAGCAGGACTGTATTCTTCCTGGCAGCTCTAGGGCAGACTCTATTCCCTTCCCTTTCCAGCTTTTAGGAACTTGCTTCCTCCTCTGTCAAAGTCCAGCTCTTCCCACCTCTATCTGACTCTGACCCTGCTGCCTCCCTTGTATTATGATCCTTGTGATTCACTGAACCCGCCTGTGTAATTGAGTAGAATCTCCCCATCTTGAGATCACTAATTCAGTCCAATCTGCAAAGTTCCTTTTGCCACATAAGATAACAGTCACAGATTGAGAATTTAGATATCTTTGGGTAAGGAGGATTATTCTACTTACCATAGGCAGCCCTAGCATAACTTCCAATAGAATGTTTCTTTCCTCCCCTAAAACTGCTGCCAGGAAAGGGCTAGTTAAGAACCATCATTCTGTTTGCTTGAACGTAAAGCCAAGCGTCACGTGTGCACTTTAGTCCCAGCTACTGTGGTGACTGAGGCAGAAGGATCACTTGAGCCCAAGAGTTCAGGGCTGCTGTGAGCTATGATGGCACCATTTCCCTCTAGCCCAGGCCACGGAGCAAGCCTAATTGTTAGGAACGTAGGAAAGATTCGCCTCTGAGTTTTTCAGCTCCCTCTCCGAATGATGTTCATGTGGCATCTCTAGGGACAATGGTTATGAACAATTACATTTTGTTTTGCTATTTTTATAGGAAAAATCTGTAGAATGACTTTTTAATCACAAAAGTACTTAATACATGCAAGATTTCGTTGTATTTATTGATTTTTTAAACTAAATTTTACTTCTTTTTAACTCATTTATTGGACTTTTAATTCTATGGGAAAAATAATTCCAATCTGAAATATCCACAATAATAAGACCAAAATGCAAAACCCTTATACTGAAACCCGAATAATTAAGACACCTAAATAAATAATTTTTTGACAAAATTTCAATATGATTATATGTTCCTTTATTTTTCATTGGAGATAGCAGTGGTTCACTTTCTTTTATTGGCCTTTTTTCCCCAAATAATGTCATTATAATTATAGATATTTCTGTTTTCTTGTGTTCTTTCTAGCTTAAGAAATGTATAAAAACTCCAGAAATTCCTTCGAAACATGTTAGGAACTGGGTTCCAAAAGTGTTAGAACAACGACGACAAGGTTTGGAAACATATTTACAGGTAAGAGCTGTCTAGATCTTCAGTTAATATAACGTAGCTTAAATAATCATATGTCTGTTTTTTCTCCGGATATGTGGGCGTTACGCAAAATGTACGAAGCCGGCAAAAGTTCTAAATTAAAGGAAGTTCAAAATTATAAATACCTTGTTAGCTGGTTCTTTTAGCTTTAATTAGGTTCTATTTAAAATTGTTTTTATGGAGCAGGGAAATGAAGGTGAAAACCCTACTGTAGAGATAATCTGTTCATTTTTGATTCCACTCTACAAATTACTTTGTTTTTATTTTTTGTTTTCCTTCCCAGATTTTTGCTGCCTCATAGCAGCTGTTTTGGGAGGCTATTCAAAGTGCTGAGGGAAACTGAATTTTCGGTGGGCCTGGCTGGTGTATCTGTAGAATCAGACTGAAGTTGAGTGAATAAAAATTGCCTAGATTGCAGTGCCAACTTCTCTGAAAATTAGAACATAAGTTTAGAAAGAAGGAGCTTTAGGGTGCTCTTTTCTGTAGCTGAGATGAGCAGACAGGCTGTCTAACTGAGACCAAGGCAGTCGCTCCACTCAGAGAAAAGAAAGAGCAAAAAGAAGAGGTTGAGGAGTATCAGCTTTTTTGAATTTTAAAACAAAATGTCTAGGAGACTCCAGTGAATATTCTCTGTAGTTGTCACTGAGTCCAGAGAGCCCTGTTGAAGGCAGGTGCCGGGACAGCAGGCCTGGGTGGATGTGTGATTGATAGAAGTGAACATGGCCAGAGGGGGGGACCTTGGCTCTCCAAAAAGAAGAGCTGGACTGCACCTAAGAGTTACAAATTCAGGACCAGCAGCCATGCAGGCATTCTCTCTTGCAGTCCCCTTAGCTCCTTTAAGCATTAACCCCTGCCCGTCTCCGTCTGGGGGGGAGGTAGGGACTGTGTGGAGCCAGTGAGCTGTTTCCCCTACACAGGTTGAATCACTGGAGATTAGAAGTTGAGGTGAGCCTGAGCCCTGGGGGTTGTACTCAGGGACAGAGTTTGAGGATTCTCTCACAGTAGGAGGACATCCGTGGCGGCCTCCTGTAGTTTCCCTGGTGTTTACAATGCTCAAGCAGGAAGGCTGACCGCCAGGGCCCCCAGCACACCCGAGGAGGGCTCTCCTCATTGTTTTTGCCCTTCTGCTTTTGGGTTTGCTTCCTTCACGGCCTGTCCCTGGGGCTGAGACCTTGCAGGAAATGGAGATCACAAAATCACAGGAATGTGTGTGGCCTGAGTTTTTTGAGACTCTGAAAGAGGAGCTGAGACACTTTGACAGCTTCAGGCAACATTGCCGAGCAAAATGCACATTGAGAAACCGAAAAATGAGGCTTCAGTAATTGTATGCAAAGGATAAAAATGCATGTTGTCTATAATTAAACGGAATAGGTAAACAGTGCGTTTTTATTTGTGGGCCAGGTTTTCTGCAGATATTGTATATCTTCAGGCTTTAACCCTGAATAAAGCTTTACTCTCTTTCCCTCATTGTATTTGAAGAAAACACATGACTTTCATTACTACTAAGCATAAACATTTTAAATTGTTTGTACGTTAGATATAAATATGTGCATAAAATCATCTGGCCCAGAGAGAAGTTTATAGTGACACTCAAATTGAGCTTAGAATTTTCTATTCTCAGAACTAGGGCTTGAAAGATGTGGTTGAGGGGCTGAGAGGACTTGCTTCCTGCTGTGCATTTACTTGTCAGTTTGTCGTCTCTTTATTCCCCGAGGAGCGCCAGGGAGCTTTCTCTGCTCTCTTTTCCACCTGCTTCTATTTGCAGACAGGAGGGGCGAGATAGCACTAGTGTGGAAATGCCACCATACACATCATTGTGGCCTTGTGGATAGGTTTTCATCAGTGAATTTACCTTCAAATACTTCCGCCAGCCTAGAAATTTCTAAATGGTCATTTTCACACATTCTAACAACATGGCGACTACTGCTAATGCTATTTAGCATTACTTGCCTGAAGATAAAAAAAAAATAGCATGAAGGCTGCCTGAGTGAGTTTTGTTTTTTTTTGAGACAGAGCCTCAAGCTGTCCCCCTGGGTAGAGTGCTGTGGCATCACAGCTCACAGCAATCTCCAACTCCTGGGCTCCAGGGAGTCTCCTACCTCTGCCTCCCAAGTAGCTGGGACTATAGGCGCCCGCCACAGTGCCCAGCTATTTTTTGGTTGCAGCCATCATTGTTGTTTGGCGGGCCTGGGCTGGATTCGAACCCGCCACTTCAGGTGTATGTGGCTGGCGCCTTAGCCACTTGAGCCACCGGCGCTGAGCCTATTTTTTTTAAGTATATTTCTGAACCATTGTCATTTTCCTACTTAAATTTCCAAATGATTTTGGTCAGAAATAAATTCTAGAATAAAATTAACAAAATGCCTAAGTACAGTGTCTTAGAATCAAAATCTAGAAATAACTAAGGAGAGGTTAAACGTTTTATTTGGCATTTGAGTAATTGGAACTATGACAGTCTACATGATGAACTTGTACTTTCATTTCTAGAATCATTTTCTACTTAACTGAATCGAAAATCAAGTAGCTGTTGCTTGTCATGTTTTCGTATCTCTTCCTTCTTAAATAAGACACCCCAGGAAAACTCCCTGAGGTTGAATGAATGAGGAAATTGATCATCTATAAAGGTAGAATTAAGCAAAACAATATATTTCTACATGAGTGGAAGAAGTTAATTGATTTTTCTTCCCAACGAAAGGTCTGTGCCAAATAAAGATTTTTGTAGTAACAAACTTTTTATTTTCCAACTGATATAAATAAGAAATGCATCTACTTTAGGGGTATTTAAATTGTAGGTAAAAACAAGTTAATATTTGGTATTAAATATAGTGCCAATAAATATGTTTTGCTTAATGATAAGCATTCCTTAAGCACCTGTAGTATTTGAGGAAGAAACGTGGATCTAGCTTCAGAGAACAAAGAATGTCAAAGCTCTAATGTGTAGACACACCCCATAAAACTTCAGCACAGTGGAGAGAAGGCACCATAGTCTTCTAGGAAATAAAACAAATGGTGGGCCACGGTGAGGGTCAGTCGTGTCTTCATTTCTTCATTTTAAGCTGGCTTAGTGGCACATTCCACATTAAGCCACATTAAGTTGCAAACTGGCATAAGTTCCAGACAAGTTTTTCATGAGAATTGTGCATATGTTACTCGTTCTATTCGGTGCAATAGCGTGAAATTTATCTTTCTGAGAATACTGTTATTCTTTGCTATTTGAGAATAGTTCCTGTTTATACTTTGATCTTCTTTGTAAAAAATGAATAATTAACATTGCCTTCACTGCACTCTCTTAATTATTGTGTTAAGACGTTTATATTCTACACTTAGTAGATTTGACATACACCTATGTAAAATGCACCATAGGTGTGGTCCAACCAGTTTTTTGTAAGTATTTCAAATTGTATATAAAACCAGCACATTGTACCAAATAAATGCATTATCGTACACTATGACCATACAGCTATGATTTAATAAAAAAAAGAAAATGAATAATGAAATGTACAGTGAGTGTCGGGAACTAAACCGAAACGACTGGCTTGCCTTTCATTCTTTCTTTACAACGTGTTATGTTCCACTGAGTCAGTAGTCCACAGTGGGCCAAGAGTATTGTATTCTGAGCTTTTCAAGTTGTATATGAGATGTTTACTAAAATTTGCCCTCTGTGCTTAAAAATGTTGCGTATTGTCTAATTCACCAGTGCAGTGAACTATATATAATCTGGTCAAGGTTGTTAAGCAAGCTGTTTAAATCTCTTCTAATCTGAGCCATTTCTCTATAAGAAGAAAGGAGTGTTAAAACCTTGTACTTAATGTGTTATCGTTATTGACATAATTGGGCTTAGTTCGACCATGTGTGGATCACTTTGGCTTTTTCTATGATTTTCTTTTTCTCTTACTTGCTTTTGCATTAGTGACACATTTTTTCCCCTTTTCTACTTTTCCTCTCTCAGTTTATATCTATTCTTTTAATAATTGCCTATTATCTTTACTTTCCTCCTAAACATTCCAAGGACCTTAAAATGTTTAAACTCTGATCACTCTGGATATAGAACTCTGGGTTGACTTTTTTTGTTTGTGTGTTTGTTTGGGGGTTTCTTTTAGCACTTGGAAAATATTGTGCTACTTCCTTCTGGCCTCCCTGGTTTCTGATTAAAAAAAAAAAAAGTCAGCTGTCATATTAATTGTTTTTCCCTTCTATGCTTTTATCCCCCTGTATATTATTTCAAAATGGATGCTTTCAAGATTTTATCCTTGTTAGTTTTCAGAAATTTATTATGAAATTTTCAGAAATTTGATTATGTATCTTGGTGTCTATTTCTTTGAATTTTTCCCATTTAGAGTCCTCTCAGTTTTTTGAATGGGTAGGAAAATAATCTCTTGCCTGATTTGGAAGTTTTCAGCCATATTTCATTGACCTTGCTTTCAGCTCTGTCTGTTTCCTCTCCTTCTGGGACTCTGATAGTGGAATAGTATTCGATTTCTTACTGTAGTTCTGTATTCTTTTCACACCTTTTTTTCTTCCATGGGTCTGGTTGGGTAACTTCCATTGTTCTGTCTTCTACTTTACTGATTCTTTCCTTTGTTCCTTCCATTCTGTGATTGAACCCATACATTGAGCTTTTCATATCGGTTATTATATTTTTCAGTTCTAAAATTTCCATTTGGCTCTTTATATGTTCTGTTTCTTTGCTGAGATTTTATATTTCTTCTCTGAGTTTTTCTCCCTTTGATTTTTGTCTCAGATGTGTTCATAATTGCTCATTGAACATTTTTTTTATGTAAGATGGCAACACTAAGATGAGGGAGATGCCAGAATTATTAGACAATGATTTTAAGGCAGCCGCAATAAACAATGTTGATTTGAGATCATTTTGGGTTTTTTTAATTTAAAATTTTTTTAGAGATAGGATCTCACTATGTTTCCTAGGCTGGCCTTGAATTCCTGGGTTCAACTAATCCTCTCACTTCAGCCCGAGTAGCTGA